AAAGATTTTGAATATCAGTCATAGGTAAATCAATCTTCAGAATTTTTCAGTAGTAAAATCTACAAACACTTCAAGTAAAAGGTATTTGGTTCCAAGATCCTTATTCTCTTAAAATCTAGACCTGAGGTCTAGTCATAGTTTTTTCATCGTCTCTTGGGCTAAATTAAATAAGCAAGCTAATTAAAGTACTATGCAATTGTTAAGATATTTTAAAATATTGGTTATTAAAAATTATTAGGGAGTTATCAGCTATCTTCATTATTGAACGGTGGCCATATATATGTCTATACACAATTTTTTGTTCCAACAGATCTTTGTATTATTTTCATGGCCATTTGTTTCCAAACATTGAATCAACCACAAACATGAGGTCTAGCTATGCTAAGATAGGAGTAACCTCACAAAATGTCCTAAAAAATAGCTTGTCATACTCATGCATACCTTAATTTCTGCTTGAGCCCTCACTTTCAGGCAAACCAGATCTTAGCTAACAAGGGATTTGCAGTGTTACTAGTGACATCTTAACAGTAGTCATGACATATTAACATTTTAAAAAACACCTCTTACCACTGTTTTAAGCTGCTTTAGTTCTCTCCTTAGGTGTTGAATAGTGGTAGGGTAATCTGTTTAATAGTAAATCTGACAGTTTATATATATTAATCAAAAGTTTATGTTGGCAAAAGAATCCACTGGCCCCCTTTGTGCAAATCAATAGCTCTAACCCTCTTTCAGTACCCTATCACTAGCAAATAATCTTCCCCTTCTGACAGCACTGTTTTTATGGTTTTGCTCTTAGAAGTAATCTCTTTTAAGGGTTAGAACCCAACAGACTCAGTAAATCTTCCTACAACTCGTAAAAGTTCCATCAAAATAAGTACAGAGTTCTGTATAATAAATTTTCACAGCCTTGGTGGATGGTATGTAGTAGCAGTGTTTTGTTGATTAGGTTGACCTTGGGTAAGTCATTTAATTCCTTGGAGCCTTAGGAAAGGAATGCATTTCTTTAGAAAAATAAAAGCTGGAGGTTATATTAGGCATGACTTTCCCTTACAACCAATAGTTTGAGAGTTTTTCACTTCATTCATTTAAAATGGGGACTTTTTAGGATCAAGAACTCCAATGGGGGCACCTGTCTGGTTCAGTCAGTAGAGTGACTGCTGATCTCTTGTGAGTTTGAGCCCCATGTTGGGTATAGAGCTTAGTTTAAAAAACAACAAAACTCCCTTGGTGATTAGCTGCTACCTCCTGAAACTGTTAGAAAAATTTTGAATACACATTTCCCTATAATGATGGTCTTTAGTTATTGAGCACATTGAACATTTACTGTGTCAGGAAGTAAGCTAAGAGTTTCATAGGTTTTCTGACCTAATCCTCATAACAACATTATGAGGTAGAGGTAAATACAATTATTCTATTTTTATCCCCATTTTACAAATGAAGAAATAATCTTAAAATTTTTCTTAACTAACCTTTCCGAAGTTCTGACCTGGCAAGAAGTGGTGTTTAAATAACTTGTTAAATAACAAACAATAATAAATGACTGTACACTGGGTATTACTAAGAGGGCATAATACTTTTTATTAATGTATTTGTTATAATTCACAATAAATTTGGGAAGCATTTTGTATAGAGCTTAGGCTTTAAGATCTTTCCTGCACATCTATTCAATTTTCATAGCTGTCCAAGAGCTTTATATTTGAGGCAACATGGGACAATAAAATCTCTAATTAAACTCCCTTGCCTTTAGCCTCTAACTCTAGCTTTAAGCAAGTTATTTGATATTTCTTGGGTCTCAATTCCTATTGTTTGCAGGGTTTTTATGAAAATTAGACATAATGTACTTAAAGCTTTAGTGATACATATTTGGGTCCTCTTTAAATGAGAGGGTATTTCCAGACTGCCTTCTTCACCCAAAGGGACCTGGCCCTTGAGCCTTTCTCACCTTCTCATTGTTGACTCTTTCATTACTTAGAATCGTAATTCCAGGGCGCCTGGGTGGCTCAGTCGGTTGAGCGGCTGCCTTCGGCTCAGGTCATGATCCCAGGTTCCTGGGATCGAGCCCCGCGTCGGGCTCCCTGCTCAGTGGAGAGTCTGCTTCTCCCTCTCTCTCTGCCTACTTGTGCTCTCTCTCTATCTGTCAAATAAATAAATAAAAATCTTTAAAAAAAAAAAAAAAAGAATCATAATTCCATCAGCCAGGTTATTCTCACCTATATGTATTCTTCTTCTATTTGGGGGCTCTTCTTCAGAAAGCCTTTTTTCCCCCCTAGCAACCACCTTTAATGTTTATGTTCACAATAACCTTATTATTTCGCATTACGTGATTAATAAGTGCCCACTAGACAGACTTTCATGTTTACTTCATGTAAAAACCAGCCAATTTTATTGAGCACTACTTACCCCAGACAAGGTATTCTTTATAAAATTATAAGTTCAACACATGTTGCCTAGATGGCAGCCCAAGGATTCTGGACCATCGTGGTTGTACACCACCTCTTCTCCATTTGAACACAATATTCCCTCACCAACAGGCCTATGAAGTCTACACATGTTCACTGAAAAGTACTGTGTAGAATACAAAACTGGAAGCATATGCCCCCTTGAGGTCAGCTACAGTGCTAAGGGATAAAGAAAGTAGAGGAGGACAGAAAGTTTGTACTGAATTCAAAGACTTTCAGCAAGAATTTGTACAATTTCAGGCAACTTAGAATTTTAAGTACTTTAAGCAAAATACACTTCATAATGTATTGCTAATGAAAAAATAAACAGTTCGGAAAAAACTGTTACAGGTGACAAATTCTGTATAATTTATCTTTTTGAAGATAAAGTATCGATGACATACTACTATTTAAAAAATCTTATTGTTGTATCAGGAATATCGCATCCTATAATTGGGCTAAGTCTTTAGTGAAAGCAGGAATAAGGATTACACAACAAAAGGATTCTGACCATAGATTCTGAAAAACATTTAATATGGCTTTAAATTATCTCCTAGATCAATTATAAAATTTTACCTCCTTTTTGTTTTGACAACTGAAAATTATGAAAGCTTTTAGCTTTGTCTTCTATTATTGGAATAGTTTAGTTGACTTAAAAGTGCAGATGGTTAATATAATGAATATGGAACATCAACAAAGACCTAAATTACATCCCTTAACTCCATCACTCCAGTGATGCATGTGTGTGTAATCTCTTATACAAAGAAAAATGTCATATAAATCACCATGATCTATAAACAGATTCAAGAGAAAACAGAAAAATGTACTATCCATTAAGATTCTCAATGCTAATTCTTAGAAGTAACAACCTATAAGATCTGTATTAATGGGAGGGAATTATGTATAGCAGGTAAGAACAATGAGCTTTGGAGTCAGAGAGAACTAGGCTGGAGTCCTTGACTATTTTTCTGTGACCTTGGGCAAGCTACCAAATATCCCTAGGCTTCAGTTTCTTCATCTATAAAATGAGGTAACACTACCTCAGAGTTGTGGCAAGGACAAAACAAGATAATGCATGTAAAACCAGAGTGCTTAGCACACAGAAAAAGCTAAATAATCATTATCTATCATTATTATGATTATTATTATTTATAGTTGTCCAAGATACGCATCTGATGTGTGATTATGTTACACATATTTTTTCTATTTACCCAGCTTGACAGAATGCTCAAATCTTTCCTTGAGTGCTAGAAACTACCAGTGGGTCCTAATGGAAGCTCTTATTTCATACATTTTACAAACATAAATGATCAATGAAAATGAACAAAAACTCGTATTTTAAGAATTTTCTTTGTATGTGTCACAAAGATTGCCAATACTTTTATGTGAAAAAGCATCTGTATACATTGTTTATTAAACAATTTAACGTTTACACACAATACATAAATGTCTTTGAAACCTCAAAGTTCACTGATAATTGCAGTATCATTTTCAAATAAGCAAGGTACGACCTTAAATATTACATCATTCAGATTATTTTTTAAAGAATAAACCTGTAGGAGATCATTCCAACATAACTGTCCATTAATTATTTGTAACAAAATGGGGTTCCTAGTAGAAGTTTCAGCATATGGATGGTTCCTCTACTGCCTGGGCACCCTCCGTGACAGCTTTTACACATTTGGCCATTGTCTGTGAAGCTCTGCTAATTGAGTCTGAAAGATATTAAGAAAATGTGCATTTTGAGAATACAATTTTTTAAAAAGCACACAGTAAAACTTTCTTGTTGCACACACTCAGGAACAACCAAAAAAAAGACTATAAAATTCTATGTAACTGTATCTAATGTGAGAAGAACTCCAGAAAATAAGCCCCTTATAAGCTAAATGCTTTTGGTAAGTACTCCTAGGAATGATTAAATAATTACATATAGCCATACAATATGCCATTATGCAACCCTTACAAATATTATAGAAAAGTACTAAAGATAGGACAAGTATGTGCACAATACTGTTATTGAAAACAAGTTTATAAAATAGTATGTGTACTAAAATCCACTGAATCCAGGGGCGCCTGGGTGGCCCAGTCGGTTCAGGTCATGATCCCCGGATCCTAGGATCTAGCCCCACGTTGGGCTCCCTGCTCAGCGGGGAGTCTGCTTCTCCCTCTGCCTCTGCCCCTTCATTCCACTCATGTACGCGCGCGCGTGCATGCGCTCTCTCTCTCTCGCTCTCAAATAAGATCTTAAAAATAATAATAAAAAAAATAAAATCCACTGAATTCAGTGAACTTTATGGTCTGTAAATGGTATTTCAATAAAGCTGTCAACCCCTCCCCCCAGTAAATGAATCATCAAATCTTTTATTTTTTAAATGAATAATATATGTGTATATCCTTGTATGATTGACAAAATGTTAAAAAAATAAAACTAGTTATTTCTGGATAGTGGTATCATAGTAAATGCTCTTTGCCCTTTGGGCTTAGGTATGTATTCTACAACAAACATAACTTTTATAACATAAGTAAAAAACCAATTAAAAATATTCTTAGATAAACAAGCTTAAAAACTTTTAAAAATATACTATCTGCTTTTAGGTAGAAAATTATTTAAAATCATCTGTCAACTACCTCATAACACAGATATTATATCAAGTGTTGTATCATGTTACATCAAATGTAAAATCTGCAGTAAACAAGTATCAGTAAGTCCACCTTCCTTAAAAGCATCCCTAACAATGTCCATCAGAAACACTCTTTAACATACTTCACATTTAAGTGTTTTAATGTTTCTACTGTAATTCTCAGAAAAAACCTTCACAGTTGTCACTTAAAAAAAATTCTCCCTAAACTGCTATATGGTGATTTTATACACAACAGTAAATTTTATATTTAAAATCTGCTTACATTTCAGAAACAAAAGAAATTAGAGTAAAATCAGAAAATTAGAGTAAAATCGGAAATTACATTACTTCTGATATTTCAAAGTTTTCAAAGATTAAATAAAAATATCAAATATTCTCATAAACAGGTTGGAATCATAATTAGGTGATCTTATTCCTTCCCACCTTTCATATTTGGCAGTCATGCTAACAAATGCATACCTGTCATGTAGAAGTCTTTTATTGTTAGCTGAGGTGGAACAAGTGGATCAGCAAGAAGCTGTTGGTTCACTAGCTGCAAAAAAAAGGATTATGAGGTCAATAATAGAATTGAAAACTAACATCAGAGGATACACTACTATGAAAACTGAATACAGGCAAGATTTTACCTTAGAGAGCTCATTTGCTTGCTGGAAATAATTGGCTCCTTCGACATCATCATATCGGACAAGATTAGGAGAGACTTCTTCCAATCTGTTCCTTACTTGATCCAGAGTATCATATGGAAGAGTCATACCTGCAATCTATAAATAACAGGTCTCCAGAATCGACATAAAGCTTTAGTACTTAAAAAAATTCAAATCATACATAACTGCAACTATAGTGAAATAATGTTGTGCTAATGAAAATTCTATTGGGTGTCCATTTGCAAGTACATTAAGTAATTAAGAGGAAAACACAATTGACAAAAATTCTAATTCATAAATAGCTGTCAGTACATTAGTAATTTCTCTTTAGAAATCAGACTGAGTATGAAATAAATGATTAAAGAGATAATGCTATACTAAATCTGAATGCTTCTGCTAACTCGATATTGATCATATACAAAGTTTACAGACAACGTATATTATTTTAAATCTCATGCTTTTTCTTTTTTTATAATAAAGAGTTAAAAGAAGTGTTTTTAGGCAAAAAACAAGCCAAAAATAAAAATACCAATATCAAACGCCCATTTTCTGAATACTTTTGTCTCACAGAGATTATTCAAATTATCCCTGCACATCAGGCTTGCATTCTCCTTGACTTTGAAAATCATTTTGAGAAGCTACCAAGTCAAACATCCCATTAGCAGCATCACTAAGAACAAATACCTCAGAGAGGGCTCTTAGAATTTTCCAGTCTTCTCTTGCCAAGCCAGGAGGTGTCACTGCTACTTTAGTCTGCTGAGCTCGGCCCTCAGTATTGACATAAGTAGCAGATTTCTCTGTGTAAGCAGCGCCTGGGAGAATAACATCAGCTATAGGAGCGCCAACGTCACCATGATGTCCTGCGAAAAGATGGAAAGGACAAACCATATTTCAGCAAAAAACTGATTAGGTATCATACATGAACACACAAGATATCCTTTTTATATCCCATTAAGAATTACAAAAGTGTTTACAAAATTGTAACATACAAAAATATATAAAAGGATTTTGGAATAAAAAGCCCACCTTGCCCACAATTCAACTCCCTTCCCAAAGAAAATTACTAATAAGCATTTGCTACCTTCCCAGATTATTTTTTGTAAATACAGAAATATGTATAATATAGTACAAACATATATCATGGGCAATGAGGTATATTATTTCTCTTGATTACAAAGTGGAAATGCTCAGATGTATGTTAGTGAAATTCAGTAAAACATACTGAAATGGTGGAGGAACAAAAAATGTAGAACAGAAATGACAGTGGTAATACTGAAAAGAACATAAACAGGATATTATAGAAAACAGTATAATGAAAGACTGAAATAGTATAATGAAAGTTTTAATAGTTTAACAAAACTGTTAGAAGGAAAAAAAACCTTGAGTTGAATGAAAGAAAGTTATAGAGCAATATATAAAGTCTAATAATCTCATTTGTGTACATTTTTGTATGTAACAGAAAAATATATGAAGCATACATTTCCAAAGCCATCAATGATTATTTCTGGATAGGACTAGGAACTGGATGTAAATTATGCATTTTGATTTAACTTTATCAAACTAAAGATACTAAATATTCTGTAATGCTCTTTATGTGCCATGGCAATAAAAAGCCTATTATAAATTTATGGCGTTTGTGTAAAATGAACTTGAGAGTTATGTAATACTTTTCTCTGTAAAATATCCGGGAGTACTTTGGACTCCATTTATTCCAGGGAAATATATTTACAATGAGTGAGAGTTCAAGAAAATGAGTCAAAAACAAAAAAGCCAAAGAAGTACTATCAAATGTATTTCATTAAATGTCCTGTAACTTGGGCGCCTGGGTGGCTCAGTTGGTTAAGCGACTCCCTTCGGCTCAGGTCATGATCCTGGAGTCCCTGGATCGAGTCCCGCATCGGGCTCCCTGCTCTGCAGGGAGCCTGCTTCTCCCTCTGACCCTCCCCCCTCTCATGT